TATATATATATATATATATATATATATATATATATATATATATTTATGTATTTAAAGTTTTATAATAATAATCATAATTATAATTATGGTTAACAGTAATTCAATCTATATAGTATACCAAATAAGGCCTAATAATTATAAATTATAGAATAATATATACATATATATTTAAATATATATATTTATATATATATATATATATTTAAAAGATGTTTTCTTACTAAAATAAATAAACAAATGAATAAAATACAGCAGACTAGTATGTTATTTTAAGTAAATATGAGCAGATATTCAATCCTAACGAGGTAGGTAAACAAATAATAAATTAAAAATAAAAATAAATTAAGTCTTAAAAAGTGTGTTCGCAAGAATTTTGATCTTACTGACACTAAAATTCTAAATAGCTGGGTATCCTACTAAAAAAAAAGTTATGCGAATAATAAATAAATATAAACAAATTATGGAGATGTTTACCTTAAAGTAGTATCTCATTTTTATAGTGTAGATAGTATTCTACGTTTTTTAATTAGCAATTACTAAATATTTTTTATTATATATGACACACAAATATAATAAAGTTTTTAGGATCTAAGAGAAGAAGAAGGAAGTTATCTTAAGTATATTTTAAGAGATGCATATTTAACGTCTTCTGCGGCCAAATCTAAGAAATACATGATCCAAGTCTTGACGTTTATCATTTTGCATTGCTGTATCAACCAATCCATCGGACATTCTAGTATCTGTAAAAATAACCAAGTAAGTATTATTTATATGATATGAATTATGAGTAGTATCTAGTTTAATTTTTTTTATATATTTATAAAAACAATAATAATATAGAAAAATATATAATATCAAAAATAATACAAAATGTATTAATAGTGTGTACAAAAATATTAAAATTTTCGATTTTATAATTTATTTAAAATTTTTAAATCTCATAGTTGCTCATAAACTTGCCTATGACATTGACTAACGAATTAAATTTACAAACTGTATTACCTAAATGGATTAAGATTTTATTTTTATTAAAATACACTGTACAATTGTAAACAAATTTAATATTATAAAACAAAATAGTTCTAACCATACTCGTATTATTATACAAGTGTAAATAATATTGAATTAGATAATTGAAAAATTGATATAAATATATACTCACAAGGCATAGGCATAGGAAATTGTTTATCTTGAATAAATGTTTCAATAGCATTCGAAAGAGTGCGAATCGTAGATAAAGTCAAACATGCTTCTCGCACTTTAGGTGGAGCGTCTTCAAGCAGCCCTGGCATACACCGAGTAGGTAGGTTGTTTATCCGACAATCGTACATGTTTACGACCAGTAACAGCTGTATGCTCATCATTATTGTTAAATATGTAGTCATTTTCTGTGAAATAAATATTATTAAACGATTTTTTTTTTTTTTTGGTATCTCTATAAATACAATTAACAGAAAAAAAAAAGCACTACATATTTGTTTGTAATAAATACTTTTGTCTTACATAATTTCAATTTTCAGTGAATAAATAAAAATATTTTGTTGTGATGAATACAGTAAATATACATATGATAAATGGATAGTATATATATTTAAGATATTATCGGTATTGTTATAAAAGTTATGACTTGTTTGTTGCGTTATAACAACCAGTGGCAGCATGACATTTATTTTCCAATGAAGCTGTTACGTTTATCGAGCCATCCCATCCCAATTTAAAGTCTTAGATTCAGATTAAATAGTAAAATTAAGGGGTATAAATAAAATAATACATAATAATATTTTATAATAAATGTGCAAATTATGTATTAATTTTTTCTGTCACGCAATACAACCTATCCACAACATTTTAGTCATGGAGCAGCTTCATCAATAAAACCCGTATCGTGCTGCTACTGATAATCACTAAAATGTGTCGAAAATTTCGCATGATCAACCAATGATAATTATTTATAATTCATATATACACTTATAATAACTATTATTCATTATTTTCTCCAAAAAAAAAAATCTTTTTTTTAAACCTGTTTCGTGTAACATGTTGAATAATAAAGTGTTTTTATAAAAAAAATGTTTTAATCAAATATTTATATATATTTTTATTGTAAAAATACAAAACATTTAATTTAATTTATGTAAGATATTTTTGTAAACGTTTAAATGTCATTTATAATAATGATAAATGATTATTTATTATAAATATATATATATATATATTTTAATATTTGCCTAGAACTTTCTTTGGATTAAGAAAATAATTTGATTTTCATTCACAAAGGTTTACTTATAAGTTTTTTCTAACTGTATATTTGATTTAATATATGATGTGTACAGTTTAATCTTACCCAAAGGCTAGAAATTTTAATCTTATTTCATTTCTTTTCTTGGATCGTTATACATGTAATATGTCATGATAAATTAATAATTTACTTCCTTCATTTTAGTTTAGTAAATATAACTGCTGACAAACATCAAAATAAATTATAGGTTTTCAAAAATAACTAATTTATCAAATGATATATTAGTTTTCCGTTATATTTTATTAGATATATTGATTTGAAATTATAATTAATTTTTTGTATGTCTATTATATTAAAAAAATGGATCAAATATTTTTTATATAGTTATAAAAGAATAGTTTTTTAAAATTGTATGCTATTCAATATGTATATATATATCCCTTACCTATATATTTTTAATTCTTACTATTAATAAAAACATTCTTAAATTTAATTTTTAAAGTGTATACAGAATATATAAAAAATATTTCTTTCATATTTTACAGTGATTTAGATATAATCTCAAAGAAGAAAATAAATGACTTTAAAGAGTTCATATGAAATTGTCTTTAACGATAAGTGTACAAATCTACAAATAAAGAAAAAAATTGATTGTTCATCGATAATGTTAAACTGGGTGATTTAAGTCTGTAAGAGGAAAACACACCATATTTCACAAAAGATAAAATTGTTGACAATATTTCTAAGTAGACATTTCTTTTTGTCAAAAAAAAGATTTACGTTTACTTTTGATTTATCAAGTAAATATCAGATGGTAATGGTAATGTATATAAATTCAACCCTTATGTGTTATATGCGTCAATGTAATATCACATACCCGTATAAGCTCTTTGTATTTTGCTGTTTTTAACTTCTGATAACCCGTCAGAAGCAAATAGAATGTATTATATTGTATTACTTTTTTCACATAATAATTGAGAACAATAACAAATTTGTAAACATAGTTGATAACTAATAAAAAAATGAAAATTAATGAAAATTAAGAAAAAAAATAAGATAATATTTTTTATACTGAAACTGCCCAGAAATAACATTAGTCATTTTAATGATCTAATTTTGAATAAATGTTATGGGTGGACTGTGGATGCATCCTCAGGCATAAATATAAATAATTTATAGCTGTTATGCATCATAAACTTTTAGTGTACAATATATCTACCACCAAATACTTCTGTTAGTAAGTTAAATTAGTGTCATTATATTAAAAATATTCTATGCGTTTAATGAGATATTCTTATTATAACATTAATGGAAATATTTATTATTAATATAAGACTTTATTTTAAAATTATTTGTTTCTCAAATAATAAAAATAAATAGACATTCGCGAGTTTTATATAGTTTTGTCTTTTGAACAATATTATTGAACTGCATTCGTCATAAGTAAGATCTTGTATTTGGTAACAAGGTGAATATTAAACAGTTTAAAGATTTTGTATCAAAATTTTAAACTTAACATAAATTTATAGTGTACTTGCTCATACTTACTTCGGCAGTAAATATATTGAAATTGAAACAATAGAGTATACGCATTATTATTAAGGTAAAATAATATTATAAAACATAATTTGATTACAATTTGCCATGATATAATAATATTATTAAACAATTATTTTTCATTAATTTATTTTCAATTCTTATGGAAAAAAAATTACCCAAATTATATAATTTAAATAAAATTATAAATTAATTTTATAAATATTATATAATATTTTAATATTATACACATATATTTAAAAAAAAAATCAATTTATTATTTTAAAGTAAACAATATAATTTTAATTTTGAAACATATTTTACCTAAGATTGAAAACGAATAAAAATGTTTTTACATCTATGATAGTTTATGCTTGAATTTTTGTTTAAAAAAAAGTCATGTTAAGTTAAGTACATGAGTATTTAATCATTAATAAATGAAAAGAATAATATGTTATTATTATTATTATTAACTTTTTTGCATATTTACTGATACAAAAATATATAAAATTTATAAATGTATATATGATTCTTGTCAGATCCATATTATTCCAATGCAATATCAATTCATAGTAAAATTATTATTGTTAGTTCAATCCAAATAGTGTATTGATATGAAACCGTAATATATTAATATATTTTAAATAATCTATAATAATCTATAATAGTATTTATTACAATTAATTAAAAAACATTTTATTTTAAATTGATATATTTTTTTTTGTGCTATTTAAGCTATTAAGGCCTTTTACACGTTTCAACCAAACTTCTCCATACATTCCAGTCCATTGCATCCTCCAATCACTTTGTCTCGTCGGTATTAATCTAATATTGTGTATTTTAATTATTTTTACTCTACTCATAGACGTACCTAATTTGCCTACTTGCAACGCCGGCTAAAAATTATGTATTGTAATTTTGGTATGAATTGATGTATTTCGAATAGTTATACACAGTGTTGTGCATTATCTAGATGATTTATCTAGATAAAAACATTAATCTTTTTATCTTATCTAGATAATAATAATCAAAGTATCTTTTTATCTATATTTTTAAATAAAATGGTTATCTAAGATAAATTATCTAGATAATTTTGAAGAAGATAATTTTTTTTGTGGGAAGTGATGCGAGGAATAATAAATACTTAAATAATATACGGATTTATATGGAATAGTTTTAAAATTACGATATATTTAATCAAACTTGAATTTCATCTGCACCTGTCGAGTGCTTGTTTAGCAGCGGAAGTCAAATATAACCAAGTAGGAACCGTTTAGGTGATAAAACATTTAAAATGTTGTTGTGTTTTGACCAATAGAACTAATTTGTAAAATATTATATTATTTATATATATTATATATTTATTTGCATTTAACTTCGTGTAAATCGAAGACAAATGAGTCATCACTGTTGACCATTAAATTAAATTTGAATATTACAAGATAACAAATTAGAGTTACATACATTTATATAAAGTTTTATGTAGCTTTCTAACCAATAAATACATAGGTATATGTTTAAATCATAAAAATCATAAAACTAGGTATATTTTTAACTATAAATTATTTAAATTATAATAAATTAATTTGATCTGTGAACTGATTAATAAAATAAAATAAAAATAAATAAAAATAGTTTATTTATAACATCTTAAAGTATTTATATTTAAAAAATTTGGGTAATGAAAAATAAAAATAGGTTTATGTACTGTTCTCTGTTTAAATTAGCAAAATTAATTAATTTTATTTTAAACCAATTGAATCATAATTAATAATTTATTTTTTTATTCATAGAAAAATAACCATTTCACAAATGTATGTAAGTTCTGAATGATAAAATTGTTTTAAATTTTTTTTTATCTAGTTTTATCTGTTTTTTATTTAGATATATGTAGTTATCTTTTATCTATTATCCAGATACATTTTTAAATAGTTATCTATTATCTTATCTAAATGAAATTGTAATGTATTATCGTGCAACTAATAATATTAAATATATTAAAATTCAACTAGATGTATTGTTAATTTAAAAACATATTAGAAACATTTGTTGTTCAAATATGAACTATACTTGTTTATTGAACAGAACATCCAAATTTGCTTTTCATAATATATAAACAGTAGATATAATTAAATGCTTCTATGCTTGACTTATTTAATATTGTTTATTTTATTTTTTTGGATTTATACAATTATTAAAAATATTTCTATTCATGAAAAATATACATACATATTAATTCAATTATATGAGATTACATATTTAATTTACAGACTCATGCTGAAAAATAAATTAAGAAAACTAATTATAAATAAATAATTAAATCATATTTATAAAATGATGTATTCGTACAATTTGGACCTTCATTATTTGCGAGTTTTTATTATCTTTTCTATAGAAAAAAACCCAATAGAAGGTAATCCCGATAGGCATTACAGCTTTGTAATAGCATTTGATTAAATTTGTGGTTCATTTTATTGTCATAGAATTCTTAATATAGGTGTATTAGCTATACTCAAATTAGACTTTGTATTTATAATAACCAGATGTCTTCTTTGTTTTAATTGCGTTGTTACTTTAAAAAAATGTTATACTTTTTTTTTTAACACCCACATT